GCAGCACCGATATGGGCCGCTATGAGTTAGGGAGGGTTTAGGGTCTGGGGTTTAGGGTTTAGGGTTTTAGGGGTTTAGGGTTTAGGGTTTGGGGTATATAGGGCTTCTATAAGGCTTCCATAAGGTATATAGACCTTCTATAAGGCTCCTATAACGGTAGCTACCCACCTGAAAATGTCCTAGACTTCAAGGGTCTTGCGGTTGGGGCTGGTTTAATGCTACCACTCGTTTTTTTCTCTGCATCTCCTCAGTGTCAGTGCTCTTCTCTTGTTGCAACTATTGTTATCCCTCATATGCTCGTTAGTCCTATCATGTATGCACCATTTTGAACTACATCATACAAAGTCTACAACATAATTTTGGTTGTATACTACAAATATTACGGGCTGTTCATACACATATGGGAAGTTGTCAAAATTATGGTCCCTTTTGGGGTACCCTAAATAATAGGTGCCGTATTATAATAAGGACCCAAAACGACCGACGGATGTCCGATAATAAGGACCCAAAAAGGGACCCGAATTTTGACAGCTACCCATATGCCTCATAACTAGCTTTGAAGCCGAAATCTGCCTCAGGCTTGAAATGCGATACGGACGGATTCCAAAACAACTCATTCTACCTGGAGGATCATGGGACTTTATAAGTAAGGTTATAAATATAGTTACCTTAGTTATAACCCTACTTACTAAGTCCCATGATCCTTTAAGTAGCTATCATCCCGGAGTCCATGGCGTAATTGGGCCGGTTCCAGTTGGCCCTGGTGAATCCTGAATGTTTCGACTCGCACACTCGCAAGAAGAAAGCACAGAAGGATTGAGGATCTGAGGTTTAGGAGTTTAGGGGTGGCCGCAAAAGCCTAAAACACACTTCTCCTACAGAGCCCTAGTGGATCCCCCCCCCAAAACCCTATTGAGAATAGTCGGGGTGGTTGGGGCGGGACTGCATGCTGATGCCAGCGCACGATAAGTGGGTGAGCCCCGATTCCTGAAGTAAAAGGCGCACGCGCGCACACTGGATGCACACCCTAAACCCTAAACCCCCAAACCCTAGACCCTACACCCTAAATCCTAAGGTGGGAATCTCGGCCCCGGCGCTGCATCCCGACGCTCTGTCTGCACCTCCGAGTGGTGCTTACAAGGCTGTGCGGCCAGCTGTTCTCGAGAACTAGGAGTTAGGGCTTAGGGCTTATAGGGTATGGGGCTTAGGGTTTAGGGTTTGGTGCTTAGGGCTTAGGTTTTGGGGCTTTGGGTTTAGGGTTTGGGGCTCAGGGTTTAGGGTTTGGGGTTTGGGGCTTGGGGCTTTAGGGTTTTAGGGTTTAGGGCACCAACAAACCACGAAGGACAAGGCTCCTTAGTGAAGGCCCTGATAGGTCTCCTAAGAAAGATGTCGTTACTGAAACCTACAGCTGATGATATACATCCTGCATTACCCTTACCCATGATAAGGAATATACCATAATTTCCCATAGTTTAGGGTCCTTAAGGTAATGATTTATATCAACAGTATGCCCCCCCTACTACGGCGCCAATCGGCTAAAGGCTTGGGGGGGGAGACTGCGGGTCAGGGTTTTGGGCCTGAGCGAACTAGAATAGAAAGGCTGATAAAAATCAAAAATCTCCGCAAACCCTAAGAACCCTAAGATTCCCTAAACCCTAAGACCGAAACCCTAAGCCCTAAACCCTTAACCGTAAAAGCTCTAAACCTCCGAAAGCCTGGGAATACCCTACGACTCACAAAACCCCGAAGAACTCTAAAACTCCGAACACCCTAAGAACCCAGGGACTCGTTTAGGATTTAGGGTTTAGGATTTAGGGTTTAGGGTTTAGGGTTTCTTGTTCCGGGTTTCCGGTTGAGGGTTTTAGCTTTAGGGGTTAGTAGGGCTTTCCGGGTTTTAGGGTTTTAGGGTTAAGGGTTTAGGGTTTCAGGGCTTACCCTAAACCCTAAACCCTAAACCCTAAACCCCTAAACCCTAAACCCCAGGGTTTTCAGGGTTTACCTCAGGGTTCAAGGCTTGAGGTGTTGATTTCGGGGTCGAGCCAGCTCCATCTCTCGAACGCTTCGAAGTCTGAGGGCAGTACGGCGAAGAATTGCCCAAAACAAGCCCTGAAGTAAGCCCTAATGTAGGGGCCTTCATAATTAGAATAGGATTTTAGGGGGTTTCATGTCATAAGTATAGTATGCTACACCCTAATTATTAAGGTCCCTATAGTAAACAACCCTGAACCAAACCCCTAAAATGCCCAAAACCAGCCCTGAACCAAACCCCTGAAACCCCAAAGCCCTAAACGACCCCGAACCAAGATCCCCACCCAAACCCCAAAGCCCTAAACGACCCGGAACCAAGATCCCAAAACCCTCGACCCCACGCCCTAAAAACCAACCTTGAAGCAAGATCCCAAAACCCTAAACTGCGTCGGGCTCGAGCACTTGGAGATGCTAAAAGTTAGATTCGGGTCGTGGGTTTAAGCTTCAGGGTTTGGGCTGCCTCCAAAGGGCTGCTAGACCTCGTTTAAAGTATCAGAGGTTTAGAGTTTCGGCTTCAGGGCTTAAGGTTTAGGGTCTAGGGTCGAGGGTTTAAGGTTTAGGGTCCACAATTACACAGGCTCTGGGAGCTTTGTGCCTCATCTAGCGCATTGAGGAGATTGAAACACAGGGACTTGACTCAAACCCTCCCCTAACCCGGTGTTCTCATTAAGGAGTCGTATTCAAGTTACCATAAATAAGGAAACCATAGTGCCTGCTGTAGATCACTACGTTAAGTTCAACAAGAACCCAGATACCCCTCTTTAAGGGTACCATAGGGCTCTACCATAGGGTCCCTTTTAAATGTTACATGCGGTTCCAGTGGAGGGATCTGGCATCCCTCCAGGCTTCTGCAATAGGGTTCGCTTCGAGGCTTTCGGATTTAGGGGTTTAGGGTTTAGGGTTTAGGGTTTAGGGTTTATGGCTTAGGGTTTAGGATTTAGGTTTAGGGCCTAAACCCCTAAACCCTACGCCCTAAACCCCTCGACCCTAAACACCCAAACCCTAAACCCCAAGCCCCAAACAGCCTCAGCCGGAATACAGAACCACGAGCCCGCCTTCAAGCCTCAGTTCCAAGACCCTCGATCTCAACCCCCCGAAAAAAGCCATACACGCAGAACCCTCTAAGGAATCCTACATAGTGTTCGAAAGATATACCATAGAAATGAAACGCTGAAAACAAACTGAAGCAAAAGCTGAAACCAAACCAACTGCTTTCGAAACAAAAAAGCAGGCTCCCAAAAAGAAAGTCCGCGCCTCCGCCGAAACCCAGCTTGAGCCCCCGACCTGCACCTGACACGGGGCTTGGGCAAGAAGAGCTTTTGTTTTTTTTGTTTTAAGGGCCTTTTTCGTTGCATGCGCTCCAAAGCCCATGTTGGGCAGGCTTCCGGACTCTCAGTAGTCACCTCACATGAAGATCTTGAAGAGCTCACAGACCAGCCTGACCACCCTCTTCGACCCTTTCATGCCCTTGGAGCCCAATCTCCAGGTACTTCTCCATCATCTTCCCCAACCCTAAACCCTAAACCCTAAACCCTAAACCCTAAACTCCAAACCCCAAACCCTGAACCCTAAACTCTAAACCCTAAACCCCAAACCCTAAACCCTAACCCATCCTGTGCCCCTCCATCCAGCTCCAAGGCCACATCGCTGTCGTGCTCCTGCCCATAGCTTTCATCCAGGTGAACTTCTTCTCGAGGTCCTCCAAGCAGGCTAGCCGGTCCCCTGTCCTGGCTGAACTCCGTCACCGCCAGCAGGCTGCGGTAGCAATGACGTTGGGGGGCGGGGGTTAAGGGTTTAGGGTTTAGGGTTTCTGGGTTTAGAGTTTAGGATTTAGGGTTTCAGGGTTTAGGGCTCAGAGTTTAGAGTTTCGGGTTTGGGGGTTTTGAGCTGTGGGTTTGGGGTTTAGGGCTTGCAAGGAGTTCATTCTTCCATGTTTAAGGCACCTCACGGGTTTTCAAGTCCAGGAACTCACGGGGCTAGAAGTTCAGGATTGTGTAGGCCGGGCTGTCCTAGGATCTATGAGGCTCTCTAGGAGAATTTTGAATCAGTCTACTGTGCTTCGCACGATTTTATGGTAGGATTAGCATGTGGCTCTTGCCTACACTGCACCACGTGTTTTCATGTGTGTGTGTATACATTTAAATATGAGTACATTTAGAAACAGTACTTCGAATCATTGATTGGGGCTCTGGCTTCAGTTTAAAGTCTGCAATTTAGAGATCTGGGGCATACCAATCTAGATACACACATAGAGGCATGGATACTTGCTTGTTGTTGCAAAAGGGCTCCTCAGGGCTATTGGTACTCCCTTGAAGTCCTGAGGTACCTAGACAGCTAACTTCAAGAATTGACGTACCTACCCCGAAATCCTTATCCCAACCTTGAAGACGTCCTGAGGTACCTAGAAAGCTAACTTCAAGAATTGATGTACCTACCCCGAAATTCCTCTCCCAACCTTGAAGACGTCCCGAGGTACCTAGAAAGCTAATTTAAAGAATTGACATACGTACCCCGAAAACCTTATCCCAACCTTGAAGACGTCTATAATTCATAACGACACCCTGCCCTACCATTTAGTATACCCCCGAATCCCTTCTCTAGTTCTTGAGACCCCTATCGTAGGCCCCAGACCGTTGTTCCGGAAACACTCAAGGTTTAGGGTTTAGGGTTTAGGATTTAGGGGTTTAGGGTTTAGGATTTAGGGGTTTAGGGTTTAGGGTTTGGGGGTTTAGGGTTTAGGATTTAAGGGTTTTGGGTTTAGAGTTTAGGGTTTAGGGTTTAGGATTTAGGGGTTTAGGGTTTAGGGTTTAGGATTTAGGGGATTAGGGTTTAGGGTTTGGGGGTTTAGGGTTTAGGGTTTAGGATTTAAGGGTTTTGGGTTTAGGGTCTCTCTGCCAGGCCTCTTCAGACACTGCCTCCGCCGTCGCCTGGCA